TGTATTTAACTCAAATCATTGTGTATTTAACTCGAATTTTGCTACAATAGGCTCCATTCTTAACTATGGACCATCCTTAAAATGGGGCATTCTTAACCTGGGGACTACTACCTGTATTCCCTGTGTTTGATACAGTACTCTGCTCTGTTTGGAAGAAAGGCAGGATACAGATGCTCAATTCAAATGTCATTATGTTAGTCAGATAATACTAAGTCGATATTTTAATTTGGGAAGAAGATCTGAACCAGTATTTCCTTGTTAGTATGACACAAAAAAGCAAGGTTAAGGGACCTGGCTCCTTTGCTGATGCCAAGAGCATAATAGAAGTGGGGAAGACAGACAGAGTGTAGGATTATAACTTGTTTTGGGTCTGAGCAATAATTTGACAGGCCAAGATTCTGAGCACGAATCAATCTAAAAACTCATAATAAGAGTTTCTGCAAACTAAAAAAAAAATAATGGTACTGAAATTTCAAAACAATAATATCCACTGAAATGACCACATGATAAACACTTGTCAGGATTTTACCAATCCAGAGTACAATTGGGAAAGTGCATATTTGGATATTGCACAGATAATGGCTCACGTCCAAGTTCTAACTTAGCCTGCTTTGATGTGCTCATTTTAAAATGAAATTTTAAAAAATAGCATACTCAGTGATTATCCACAGGCTCCATAGAACCATTAGGAGTGTACCAATGCTTCTTCTAAATATCATATCAGACTAAGGGAGACTTTAAAATCCCACAAATAAAGGCTAACGATTTAAAATAGAAGAGGTGGTCTATTGATTCCTGTAATTGTAATATTCCACTATTTTTAGTCTGACTTTAAGAACAGAATCCTTCCAAGGAGACCCATCGAAGAAATGATAACACAGAACAGCAATTACAAGTAAGCCAGCAGCTCCAAAATACAATTTAAGAAAAAGCCAAGAATAAACAAAGAAACAGAAAAAGGCTTTGAAGTTTGGAATGGAATAGATTAATGGATAAAGACTGGAAGGAATGGATGAGATCACAATGGAAGCTCATCAGCCCCAAGAAAGACTCAAAGAGGATTTCTCAAGATTTCTGACATCTCTCTTCATCCTTCAAAAAATCTACATATATGAAAGACTGTCCTGTTTCACACAATTAATCTACAAAACAGACAAGTCAATGTGAATCAGAAAAGCATATTCCAAAGGAGAGCAGGATGGGCATTAAAAGCATATTTCCTAATAAAACCAAAGCAAACCACGTGAACAACTCTTTGGAGGTCTTAATTAAGATGTACTCCCTGTTTCCGCAATGCAGCCAAACTGTTATGGACTCACTAATTTATGGGGAGTTTAGAATGTTGCTCCTGTTTTTGACCTAATTTTCCTCAGATTAGGTAATGAGCTGTGCATTACAGATTTCTTGCACCATTTCCTTAAGAGGGTATGAGATATTTAATTCCCTGCCACTAGTTGTGAGTATTCTTCCATTTGAAGTATTGTAATTGTAATGCTTGCGTTTCATCAGAAGTGTGCTATGAAAAAAAAGTGCTGAAAATGAGGGAATAACACTTGAATTTCTATTGCATACTTACAGGCTTTCATGGATAGTGCTATGTTCAGCATTATATTTTGAGCAAAGGCAAGTTTAAAAAAAGATTTCACATTTTAAAGGGGATTATTTTTTAACTACAGACTTACTTGGAATTGCTTTTTAAGAGGGTTTTGCTTATACAAAAATCTTTCTGGGTAATCCAGAAACATTCCACATTCCATTTCTTGTAGGAAAGACAAAATAAAAAGTTCCCATTGTGGCCTCTTTTTGCTCTAATGTGTGCGATGTGAAGCATTTATTAGCGCTGTATCAGGAAGGCCCAGGCCCTATTCCTCACCCAGTCTTAACACACTCAGAGTGACCTATCAAGCCCTTCCATCTGAATCTGACTCATGGTGGTTAGGAAATTGGAGTGCATAAAGTAAAGATTATGCTCGCAACAGTGGTCCAAACTTGTACAGTATATTCTTGCAGTTGTAATCTTCAATAAAATGACTATTAAAAAAACCTTGTACAGTATATTCTTGAATAGATCAGCTAATAAACTAAATCAGCTGATTTAGAGTGTAGTACCACCCAGGCCATACTGCATTTTAAGCAGCTAGTTCTGACATTTTCTCTCAGTTACTGCATAAAAGCAAACCAAGTGAGTTTTATTGCAGACTAGTTTACCTGCTTCTCCAACATTACTAAGCCAAGTTATATTAGTAAATCTTTCCCATACAAGAACAACACACATCCTAAACAGATGTGCTTCCCACAATCCTGGTTGAATTGAGAGAGAGCAAGTTATCTTTCAAGACATATTATGGGCTACATTACTTATAAATCCTTGATAGCTTGAATGATTTTTAGACCTCCTGCAAACTTTCTTCTTCAAACTCTTAGGATAGGTCTTTATTTAGAGATATGTACATATGCATTGCTTTCTTTTTCGAAGCACCATCAAGCAACACAAATTAAAGCAGGCTCTTTCCTTCAGTAGCCTTTACTGACTGATGATTTCCAGACAAGGTAGACTTCAGTCATGCTAGCTGGGAATTAGGGGAATGAATTCTCAGCCTATCTGGAAAACACCAGGTTGGGAAGGCAGAGCTAGAAGAGCGTCCTTCCCAAATAAGCATGCTCACACATGTAAGAACTGCACTGACCTTCATTCCCAGCGCAAGAGGTAAAGCAAAGCAGCAGAGTCAGCTTAGAATCTTACCTTCATATCAGCTTCACCTCCACTGTGCGTATCCTGACAGAAGAAATTGTATCCTCCTTCCCATACTCCTGTCACCAGCTAGTGCAAAAGAAACATTCAGTCAATAGACAGCAGTGGACCTGTACAGGTACTTACAAATGATACCACCAAAGTTTGAAGATTACAAATCATGAAAGAATCCAAATCATATCCATGACAGCTTAGAGAAAGAACGAGTGGTGGGCATGCTTATCCCATAAAGCAGGGAGATTCACCCCTTCTCCATCTTTTTGCCACACTTCCTCTTTCTCTTTCCATCTGAAGAACAGTTGGAGGAAGGACAAAAAATCCTAGCAAAGTCTGAA